GACAGAAGGGAGAAGTATAGTCAGATGCAAGCATGCCACAGGTCAAGCTGAGGGAGGAGTCCCTTCCTACTGGGAGCTTGGGGTTTTGAAGAAAGGGTAGGAGTCCAGAGGGGGTAGAACTGTCAGGGTCTGAAAGCAGTGGTGTGACTGTGGCCAGTTTGTAGAATGGGCAAGGTTCAGAGTACAGTGAGCTGCTGCTGCTGCTTGGGGGATGAGTAAGTCCTTGCAGATAATTACATAGGACCTAGGTCACCAAGACAGGAGTTTGAGCTTCACACACAAGGCACTAGGAAGGCTCCTTGGGCAGGAGAGAGACAAGATACAGTCTTAGCTGGGTGTTGTGGCGGGTGCCTGTAGTCTCAGCTACTTGGGAGGCTGAGGCAAGAGAATCGCTTAAGTCCAAGAGTTTGAGGTTGCTGTGAGCTGTGACACCATGGCACTCTACCAAGGGCAACATAGTGAGATTCTGTCTCAAAAAGAAAGGGCAATGCCTGTGGCTCAAAGGAGTAGGGTGCTGGCCCCATATGCCAGAGGTGATAGGTTCAAACCCAGCCCCAGACAAAAACTGGGAAAAAAAAAAAAGATATAGTCTAGGGTGTTTGAAGGCCAGGGCCAAATTCACCAAGATAGTGCGAGGAAGTGATAGGTTTATTTTGTATGTTTGTTTTTGAGACAGAGTCTCCCTTTGTTGCCCTCAATAGAGTGCTATGGCATCATAGCGCACAACAACGTTTAACTCCTGGGCTGAAGCAATTCTCTTGCCTCAGTTTCCCAAGTGGCTGGGACTGTAGGCGTCCACCTATAGTTTTTCTATTTTTAGTAGAGACGAGATCTTGCTCTTGCTCTTGCTCAGGCTGGTCTCAAACTCCTGAGCTCAAGCCATCTACCTGCCTTGGCCTCCCAGAGTGCTAGGATTACAGGCGTGAGCCACTGTGTCCAGCTGTGAGAGGTTTTGGACTTTGTGGAGTTGGACTGTCTGGGTTCCAATCCCAGCCTACCACCTAGCAGCTGTATGACCTTGAACAAGTTACTTAACATTCTCTGCTTCAGCTTTCTTCTCTATAAAATGAGGAGAATAAAAGTAGCCGTAATGGTTGGGCTGGGTGGTGGATTATATGCCATCACTTCTGCATATAATTCTTGCACATTGGGAGGCTGAGAAAGGAGGATTGATAGAGGCCAGGAGTTTGAGATCAGCCTGGGCAACATAGTGAGACTCCATTTCTACAGAAGAAAGAAAATAAAAAATTTAGCCAGGCATTGTGGCTTATACATGGAGTGCCAGATACTCAGAAGACTGAGGCAAGAGGATCACGTGGGCTCAGGATTTTGAGATTATAGTTAGCCATGATGATGCCATTGCACTCTAGCCCAGGTGACAGAGCGGAGCGCTGTCTCAAAAAAAAAAAAAAATATATATATATATATATATATTTGGAAAAAATACAAAATAGTATGCATTTTAAAATACAGTATAATAACCACGTACATTTATATTGCACAGTGTATCAGGTATGATAAGTAATCTAGAAATGATTTAAAGTACAGGGAAGCTGGGCTTCAGGAAGATTAATCGCAGGATGCGGAAAACACAGGTGGGAGTGGAAAGAGGCAGTTGAGGAGGACCTGCTAGGGAACTGAGGTCCGTGGTCTGGAGGGGAGGAGATGTGACAAGTACCAGAGTGGGACGGACAAGAGAACTGGGGAGAAGGAGAGGACCTCTGGATAACATGGTGGAGAGGAGGGATGAGTCCCAGAAGCCAGGAAGGAGGGAAGAGAAGAGAGTCCTCTGGGCATGAGCCTGGTTGACAGAGAGAGGCTGGAAATGTGAGCAGAGCAGGAAGTCAGGTGTGCAGACAGGATCGGCAAGAACCAGGATGGTGGGAACCCTGCTTCAGACACTGCTGGATCTGAGAAGGCAGTTGAACAATAGAGAAGCTGGCCAAGAATCCTGAACTTGGGTAACAGAACTGTAAGTGACTCAGACGTTTCTCTTTATACTTTAAAAAATATTTTCAAACTTTAAAAATAAGCCTGTGTTATTTTGTATCTATATCTTAATTTGTAGCATACCTTTTCGTATTTAAATCTGATTTTTTAAAACTGATAACACATTTACATGAGTCTAAATCTAAGAAATATAAAAGTTTTTTGTTTGTTTTTTTTTTTGAGACAGAGCCTCAAGCTGTTGTCCTGGGTAGAGAGCTGTGGCATCACAGCTCACAGCAACTTTCAACTCCTGGGCTCAAGTGATTCTCCTGCCTCAGCCTCCCAAGTAGCTGGGACTACAGGCACCTGCCACAATATCTGGCTATTTTTTGGTTGCAGCCGTCATTGTTGTTTGGTGGGCCAGGCTGGATTCCAACCCTCCAGCACAGGTGTATGTGGCTGGCGCATTAGCCACTTGAGCCACAGGCACCGAGCCTAAAAGTTGTGTTTCCAATCAATACTCTCTTGGCCACCGCGATTTCCCAACTACCCAGTTTTTGGAAGAACAATCAACGTTTCTCACTGCTCAGATATCTTTCCAAAGATCGTCTATGTCCAGACTAGGATGTATTGTTTCAGTAGAAAAAATTATGTGGCCTTGAAATAGAAGAAAAAAATAGGAAAATTGGCCTTCATGGAAATTAAAACCTTTTTTCTTTAGTTGTCAGAACTCAGAGACAAAATTAAAAACATTTTGCATTGGCTGGACACTGTGGCTCACACTTGTAATCCTAGCAGTCTGGGAGGCTGAGGCTGGTGGATTGCCTGAGCTCATGAGTTCGAGACCAGCCTGAGCCAGAGCAAGATCCCCCTCTCAAAAAATAGCTGGGCATTGTGTCAGGCTCCTGTAGTCCCAGCTACTAGGGAAGCTGAAGCAAGAGAATCACTTGAGCCCAAGGGTTTGAGGTTGCTGTGAGCTGTGATGCTACAGTACTCTACTGAGGGCAAAAAAGTGAGACTGTATCTCAAACAAACAAACAAACCCATAATCAACAGAATAAAAAGGTAACCCACAGAATGGGAGATTATGTTTGCAAATAATATATCTAACAAGGGATCAATATCCAGAATATGTAGAGAATTCCTACAACTCAACAACGACAACAAAACCCAAACAACTTGGTTCAAACATGGGCAAAGAACTTGACTAGACATTTCTCCAAAGAAGATATACAAATAGCTAATAATAGATGCAAAGATGCTCAACATCAGTAATCCTTAGGGAAATGCTAATCAAAATCACCAGATAGGCTCGGCTCCTGTAGCTCAGTGGTTATGGTGCCAGCCGCATACACAGGAGCTGGCAGGTTTGAACTTAACTGTTGGAAGTGGGGAGTGCAGCTATTCATGATGATGCTACGATTACAGGTGTGAGCCACTGTGCCCAGCCCCAATTATTTTTTTAGGATAAATTCTCAGATAGAATCAATCAATGCACTTTCCTACTTGTATCTAGAAACGTGTCCAATATTGGGAGTTTTTATTCTTTCTTATTTTTATTTGTTTATTTATTTTTGTTGCAGTTTAGCCAGAGCTGGGTTCGAACCTGCCACCCTTGGCATATGGGGCCAGTGCCCTACTCACTGAGCCACGGGCACAGCTCTTCTTTCTTATTTTTATTTTAAAATTTGATAGGTGAAAAATGACATCCCATGTTTTGTTTGCATTTATTATGACTTACTTTTCATAATTATTGACTGTTGATATTTCTTCCTTTTAAATCACCTGTTTCAGCTCGGCGCCTATAGCTCAACCGGCTAAGGCGCCAGCCACCTACACCTAGGGTGGTGGGTTCTAATCCCCAGCCCGGACCGCCAAACAACAATGATGGCTGCAACCAAAAAATAGCCGGGCGTTGTGGCGGG